ACTTAAGTAGCTGTGCTAAATTTTGTCATAATCTCCTTGCTGTTCCATTATACCATTTCTTGCTCATATTCCAACTCCGCTTCTCAATTTCTTAATTTACAAAAGACTTGAAGCTTTTAAATAAAGGTATAGCATAGCTTTTTACTACAAAATTAAAGAATAAGTTAAACTCTCTAATATTATGATTTTTCAAAAAGAGCTTCAAACAGAAACAAATTAAAGTTCCTTTAAGTGTCAAGGTTAATTTTCTCCTGCTTCAAAATCTCAAATCTGAATCATCTTCAAGAGACAGACATTGCTAAAGCTTAACTGATCACCGCTTGGGACTCATTCATTCAAAAGCAATTAAATGGCTACTATGTGCCAGACAATGTGTGGATGCTGAACCATGCAAAGTTCAACAAAGTTTGGCTCTTGACCTAATGAAACACAGAGATAAATAAGAAACAGGAAAAAGAGAAAGAGAACTTTACAATAATTTAATTTATTAATCATAATGGTATAACTGTGTGTCACTATTATGGAAGCATGGGTGAGAGACACCCAGCCCAGCCTGGAAGAGGTGGGGTTTCGTGATGTAAATGACCCTTGGGCTGAGTCATGAAGGATGAGCAAGGAGCCAGGAGGCCTTTCTAGCACAGGGACAAGTTGGGGTGAGAGGAGATTTCTGAGGAGGAATATGGCAGAAAGAGAGAAGATAGCTCTACTTGGAGAGCTTTCTGCATCACATTACAGAGCCCATATTTTATACTGGAAGCAGCAGGTACCACTGAGAGGATCTAACCAGGAGGCTACGTGTTCATTTTTGAGTTTCAGGGAGATCGCCGTGGAAGATAATAATACAGGAGAGGATGAAAGGGGAATAGGACTGGAGGCAGGCAGACTGCCTAGAGCAGGGATCAGCAAACTTCTTCCATAAAGAGCCAGAGACTAACACAAAGTAAGGGGTTTTGGAAGCTCTACCGTCTCTGTGGCAACTAATCCACTCTGTTATTGTGTGAAAGCAGTTGTGGTAAACAAATATGCATGGCTGTGCCCCAATAAAGCTTTATTTGTAGAAACAGGCAGCAGGTTTGGCCTTCAAGCCTTGGTTTGCCGACCCTAGTCTAGAATAGTTCTTTTCTGTCCAAAAGAACTTTCTCCAATAATGAAATGGTCTATAGATGTTCTACCCAATTCAGTAGACACATGGGGCTAGGAAGCACTGGAAATATTACCAGTTAGACTGAGGAATTAAATTTTTAACTTTATTTAATTTTAATTAAATTAAATGTAAATAGTCACATGTGGCTTGTGGCTACTCTACTGGACAGTACAGAGTTAGAGGCTGGTGCAGGAGCCAGGCAAGAGATGATGAACTAGGGCACTGACAGCAGAGATGGAGAGGAAGTGGCCAAGGTAAGAAATGTTTAGGAGGTGATACGTAGGACCTGGGATGGACCAAACACAGGTGAGGCAGAAACAAAGATGATTCCCACATGTTGAGCAGAGTTAACCAAGAGAATGGCCAGGCCACATGCTGAACAGGAGCATATAAGAGAATACAGAGGGAAATATGTTGCATTCTATTTTAGACATGTTGATTCTGATGTGCCACCTGGGAGGAGAAAACACTTGACTATAATACAAAGAAGTAGGTAATATTAAATATGCCCTTTTTATAGAGAAAGCAACTGTAGTACAGGAATGTTACATAACTTAGCCAAGGTCAGAGCGAGTAAGCGGCAAGGTTAAATTGCAGCCTGAGCTTATATGATTCTAAAATTCATGCATAGTCCATTACACCACATTGAGCAAATGGGTAATAGCTGAAACCCTGAAAGCACAACCCACTCAGGGAGAAGCACAGAGAATATCGGTGGGCCCAGAAGAGAGCCCTGGGGAACAGCGGCATCTAAGGAGCTGTCTCCAACAAAGAAGACTGGGAGACGATGGTCAGAGAACTACAAGAACCAGGTGAGTGCAGGGTCACGAAAGCAAGGGGAGTTATGGCATTACAAGAAGGAGGTGGCAGTCCTCAGAGAGATACAATAAGATAGGCACCGAAGAGAGTTCACTGGATTTTGCATCTGGAAGTCAATGGTACCTCTAATGAAATCGTTCCAGCAAAATGACAGAGGAGGAAACCTAATTTTGATGGGTTAAAGAACAAAAAAGCTACTACAAAGTGGATAAAGCAAACATAAACTATGCACTTCTAGTGCTGAGTAAATTTTAGCATATTGAATATACACTACATTTAACACTTACTGCACATGTACTGAATGACAAGCACTATGACAGGTGCTTTACGCACATACGTAAACATATAACAAAACATATAACCACATAGAATCTTCACAATAAACTGTAGGCCTATAGGTATCATTATCCCTGTTTTACAGGTAAGAAAACTGAGGCTCAGGAAGATTAAATAATCTTCCACTCACACACAATGGTAAGTGGGGGAGCTTGAATTTAAATCCAGGTCTTCTGCCTTCAGAGAACATGCTCTCTGCTCTCTATACTTTCACATCATCGGAGTCTTTAAAAATTGCAAAAGAACTCTTTTTTTAAAAATTTTAAACGGCCAAGCCTAAGGAACTTAGTATCTTCTTGAAGAAATAAAATTATAACATATGAAACACTGGCAAACAATATAAAACAGTACATAAGTACCTGGGAAAGCAGCAGATCTGTAATCTAATCTCTCCTGTTTGGAGGTGGAAGGACCATCCCTTCCACCTTTGGCAAGAAAAAAGGGTGATGAGGGTAATTGCTTGGTAAGCGTACTAATGGTATTTGTAGTAGAAGAGTCTTCATCCATGGAATGCTTTCAGGATATACCTAGTCTAGTATTGCTTATGATAAATGAACCTAGAATGTATGGATTTATGGGGTCTGACCCCTGCCCCAGGAAAGTTATATATGCTATGTAACTATCTGAGTATTAAATGGAGATGGCTTCATAACCAAGAGAGCTCCTTCCATGTCAGCAATATGAACTATACATATCACTTAGAGACCTCATAGGTAACCTCATTCCAGAGAATGCCCAGTGCAAAAAACACCTAGGGAGCCATGCTGATGGTCCTGAACATCTCCTTGCTTTGCCAGTATCTCATGATTACTTGTATTACTTGTATTCTTGATTACTTGTATTCTTGAGATTATTAGTAAGGATTGATACAGGGTAAGCTCCCTAACTCACGAGTCTGATTTGACTCCCAATTCTCTGGGTTATCTCTAACCAGAGAATCTAAAACTTTTTATAATCTCAAGTTACAAAAGGCTACATGTAATTGTGGGAGCCTACCCTGGGTTTGGGATTTTGACCTAAGACTTGAAAGATAGGTAAATTTTTCGAAGATGGAGGGAAAATAGAGGATGGGAATAAAGGAAGAAAAGTGAGAAAAATCCACAGGTGCGTGAGACAGTAAGGGTGCAAAACTAACTCTAATGAGTGGTAAGAAATAAGGCTGGAGACATGGTGCACATCACAGAGAGCTTCAAAAGTTCAGAGAAGAATCTAAAGAGGATGCAGTGTTTAGTAAGAAAGTAAGGTACTGAAAGTGGAACACAAGGAAGATGACTTTGGTAGCACTGTGAGGAAAGGACTGAAGAGTGGGTGAATGTGGAATTCGAATTAGGAAGTCAGTTGGAAAGCTATCGCAGTGATCAACCATGGAGATCCCGAAGGCCCTAAACTGGGACCATGGATGTGGAAGGAAAGGAGCAGCTAAACATTTCACAGAAAAAATGTCAGCAGACCCTGTCAAATGACAAGACAAGGGTAATAAAGGATAATAATAAATCCATTGTCAAAAATGAGCAACTACCTCCCTCCAGGAGGTGGAGCTTAATTTCTCTCTCCCCACCCGCTTTGAGAGTGGGCTATACTTCATGCCTTGCTTTCAAAGAGAGTAAAGAAAAGGAAAAATTTCACAGTGGAGAAACCGGGCCAACACCACCTAACCACATGATGAAAGTTCACATTCCCAGTGATGTCACATGGATATCATGTAGCCCCTGAGATGTGATGAGAAGGGCACTTCACCTCTATAGGATTCCTTCCGAAAACCTATAACCTCCGTCCAGTTATGAGAAAAACAGGCAAATCCAGACTGGAGGACATTCTACAGAATACCTGGACAGTATCCCTTAACACTGTCAGGGTCGTGAAAAACAAGGAAAGACTAAGAATCTGTTACAGACGAGGGGAGACTGGGGAGGCGTGACAACTAAATGCAATATGGCAGCCTAGACTGAACCGAAGAACAAAAAGAAGATACTAATGGAAAAACTCCTGAAATCCAACAAAGTCTGAAGTTCACTTAATAGTAAAGTATCGATGCTGGTTTCTTAGTTTTGACAAATGTTCCATGATAATGTAAGATATTAATAGGGGAAACTAGGTGAAGGGTATATGGGAGTTTCTGTGCTATCTTTGTAACTTTCCTGTAAATCTAAAATGAAAAGATTATTTTAAAAGAGGGACTAAGATAATGTTGGTGTCAGAATTTGGGAACAGGAGGAAGTTGGTGTCAGGAATATTAACTGGACCCAAGATAAATCCAGTAAAACAAAGTATCATCATACCACAAAGAGAGCTGGGTTCAAGAGCCAGGACTGCCACCTTCTAGCTTGGGAATCTTGGATAAGATTCCCTAACCTTTCCAAGGCTCAGTTTCCTTATTTGTACAATGGTGACAATTCATATCACATACTCTTTTTTTTGCGGTACGCGGGCCTCTCACTGTTGTGGCCTCTCCCGTTGCGGAGCACAGGCTCCGGACGCGCAGGCTCAGCGGCCATGGCTCATGAGCCCAGCCGCCCCGCGGCACGTGGGATCTTCCTGGACCGGGGCACGAACCCGTGTCTCCTGCATCGGCAGGCGGACTCTCAACCACTGTGCCACCAGGGAAGCCCATACTCTCATTTTTATATTTAGGATCTTGGGGGAAAATTTCCCCAAACCAAACAGCCCAAGTTTAAAATAATTAATGATATCAGTTACCTACCGCTGATTCACAAAAGGGCTGGAAAGTTCTGCAAGCAGGCGAAAATTCCCAATGTATCCCAGCACTCCATCCCTCTGGGTGATAAAACATAAAACATAATGTCAGGGAAAACATTCTTATCAAAATTTCCAAACATCGAAGAAACATTCAATAGCTTCTCAGCATAAAATAATGATCAATATAAACACAAACCAAGTCTGCTAAACAGATTTTCTTCTCCGTGAAAACTTAGAAATGTCATTAGAATTCTACAGCATTTTTTAAAGACAACATATTGTATACTTATGTTCACTTATGTATACCATATTCACTTAGAAAAACAGATTTCAAGCAGTTGTCTCACGCTAAACTAATGAATTCTGCACTTGGCCATTAGTAACAGCATTCTCAAATTACCGTAGAAATAATGATTAAAGTAGTGTGAATTTAGGAAGTTGAGAAATTTTATAGCAATTAAATATCAAATAGGAAGTAGTTTAATATCCATTAGGAGCACCTTAAAAATCTCAAGACCGAAAAAAAAAAAAAAAAAATCTCAAGACTGTATTTCACTTCCTAAGTAACAATATATAAGCCTGTGAGCAGATACACATTTGTCAAACATAACAACACATGTTAAACCATATCTGTCATATTTGACCTGAAAAATATACTTGTCAATCAGAAGATACTATAGCTAAAACACACACTTTGGGGACCTTTCTGAATTTAGAAACATAATGCCTAGTACTTTCCACTAATTTAATAATCGGAAAAGTATAGTAAATAAGCATTAGAAAGAAAACCGAAAGTATATACATTCCAAAAATTTTACTTAATTTAAATGTTACTAGGTAAATGGAGTCATTCTAGCACTTCCAATTAAATCAATTGTGATTACACACCAAAAGAACCTGCCCTCAAAACATCAGATATACCAGAACTTCAGAAATACTTTTCCTACTGTTTATACCACACTGTCTTCCAAATGGGAAAAATATAAAGCAATAATGAAAAAGTAATAATGAATGGACCTTTTATTTGAAGATTCTCAGTTCTTCTCTATGTAAATTATTTTAGGGATTAAAAACTGAGAGCTGGACTGCAAGAGTTAGCTTTCCAAAATGAATCTAAAACTTTTTATAATCTCAAACTCACTGTCCTTAGTGAAACTGAAATGGGTGATGAGGAAGAAGAGGAGGACAGCAGAGAGACAAAGACAGTGGCCAAGATGAGCACGATGCACAGAGGTGGCGGGAGAGGAGGATGCTCAACATTTTAGAGGCAACCAGACGCAGCCACAGCAGTCCAAAGCCACATGACAATACACGGGAAATAACTGCGCGCGTGCGTTATCACTTTAACACAGAAATACGTGTAAATTTGAATTTACATATTATTCTGTACTATTTACTTTTCTGTTACAATAAATGCATTTATTTAAACAACAGGACCAGTTAATGGTGGCAATTAGTAATTAATAGTGGGACTAAACAAATAAAATTGTGGAAAAATATAATATTTTTATAATGTTTCTTTCTGGCCTTTTACTTTGTTAGATATTTAAACGTAGTAGGTTACATTATTTTTTTATTATTATGTCTTTAAGAAGCATAAATGTAAGACTTTTAAAAAGGAGAATGTAAATACAATAGGACTAAACAGTTATTACCTGTATTTAATAAAAAAATAATAATGATATCTTTTTATCCATGACACAGTAGGATATTTTTACTCCTTATTTCCTTTTCCAATAATACTTTTCTGAAATGCCTGCGGCCTTTAGGATAGCCTTATTTTTTTGCAGAAGTAAAACAACTACAGTTAAATGTAAAATTCACTTTGACTTGTAACTCTGCTCTTAGAGGCCCACATTACTGTTATCAGTCTAGTATGATGATCTCAAGCTAAGTATTTTCTCAACAAAGGTGTTTAAGCATAAAATACATAAAATTTTACTTACTAGCAATAGCAGGCTTTTAGAATTATAAGAATTAAGTTTCTAGCTCTCTAAGAGTATCTATCCACTTTGTGTCTACAGGCTTGTTCTGGTAGATCAGCTGTTTGTAAGGTCATTTGTATGTATAAATTCATCGTATATGCCATCTATTTCTAAAATATCTATCATTTTAAGACACTCTAGAGTACCCTAGATGGATTCCAATAAGTTACAATTTTAGTTTAAAAAAAAGTACTCTTTAAGTAGCTACCCTTTTCTGGTAACATTTTTGTGTTTTGTTTTGTTTTTTTAATTTATTTATTTTATTTATTTAATTTTTTTGGCTGCATCGGGTCTTCATTGCTGCGCGCAGGCTTTCTCTAGTTGCGGCGAGTGGGGGCTACGCTTCGTTGTGGCACGTGGGCATATCTCGTTGCAGTGGCTTCTCTTGTTGCAGAGCATGGGCTCTAGGCACGCAGGCTTCAGTAGTTGTGGCACACGGGCTCAGTAGTTGTGGCTCGCAGGCTCTAGAGCACAGGCTCAGTAGTTGTGGCACATGGGCTCAGTTGCTCCACAGCATGTGGGATCTTCCTGGACCAGGGCTCCAACCCGTGTCTCCTGCATTGGCAGGTGGATTCTCAACCACTGCGCCACAGGGGAAGCCCCCATTTTTGAGTTGTGAAGCAGTTTTATTTCCAAAAAATGAGCCATTATTTCACTGTATGAGTTTTTGTCACAATCTGAACATAACATCAAGCAATGCAGGTTCTGAGAGTTCATCCTTTTCTAGCTCCTCGTGGCCTCTTCAATGATCATCAGTTTTGGAGAACCAGTCCATAAATATCTGTTTCACTGCAGATATTCTATTTGGACAATTCATTATAATTAAGCAATTAAGTTTGGGGAGTCAGGGATAGTTAATGAATGATCATGGGCCTGGGGTGTGCAGGCCAGGATTTGAACCCTAGCTCTCCTAAGTGACCTTGGGCAAAGCTGACCAAAACCTCAGTTTCTCCATTTGTAAAACAGGCAGAATACCGTCTTTATGACAGAATTGATGTGAGAATAAGACAAAATGCAGGGGCTTCCCTGGTGGCACAGTGGTTAAGAATCCGCCTGCCAATGCAGGAGACACGAGTTCGAGCCCTGGTCCAGGAAGATCCCACATGCCGTAGAGCAACTAAGCCCGTGCACCACAACTACTGAGCCTGTGCTCTAGAGCCCGTGAGCCACAACTACTGAAGCCTGCGTGCCTAGAGGCTGTGCTCGGCAACAAAAGAAGCCACCACAATGTGAAGCCCGTGCGCAGCAACGAAGATCCAATGCAGCCAAAAGTAAATAAATAAATAGATTTTTTTTTAATTTAAAAAGACAAAATGCACACTAATGGCAAACAGGAAAAATACTAAAACAGAAAAGGCACTCTAAAAAAAATTAAGTTAAAAGTGAAATTGAACCAGGTAATTTTTCTTACTATAGCTATAAAGAAGATTAAATAAGTTTGAACAAGTCCTAAAAGGACCTATTCCTTCTTTCCTAGACAGAAGCCTCCACCTCTAGTCACTGATCCCTGAGCCTTGGATGACTACACAGGACTAAGGGCCACACCTGAAATGATGATGATGAATGGATGATAAGAAAGACAGATCACCATCACCATTAGTAAGGACTAAATGTAGGTTCACTACTGCTACTTTACTATAAAAGATGAATCATATTAATAATCACTCCTCCAAAAGTAGTTAATGTTACTTTCTAATTGCTGCAGGAAAAAATCCAGGTTGAAAAGGAAAATAAATACTTCTAAGAGAAGACTCACCTGTTTTATTTACCCAATAGGTTATATCAACCTTTTACCTCACTTTGCACAACTATACTGCACCCAACCCAAACTTAATTCTTCACCACAAGTTTATGCTCATGACTATCACAGCATGGTAGAGTTAAAATGGCCTCTGAAGATTGCCTATTTCAATTACCCACAGATGTTTTAAATTCCTTCTACAAAAGCTCTTCCAGGTTGCCCCCCAGCGTGGACAACTCCATGGTGAGTAGAGTAGCATCTCCTAAAGCAGCTTTCCAAAAGTTCCAGAACTACACTGTACCCTCTTTTTATTTTTTTTGCGGTATGCGGGCCTCTCACTGTTGTGGCCTCTCTCGTTGCGGAGCACAGGCTCCAGGTGCGCAGGCTCAGTGGCCATGGCTCACGAGCCCAGCCGCTCCGTGGCATGTGGGATCCTCCCGGACCAGGGCACGAACCCGCATCCCCTGCATCGGCAGGCGGACTCTCAACCACTGCGCCACCAGGGAAGCCCTACTGTACCGTCTTTGACGTCCACCTGCCAGTCCTACTCCTGATCCTGGCTATCCAAAATCTCTTTTTCATATGACAACCCTTCAAATATTTCATGACTGTCCAAGTACATGTCTATCTTCTTTCCAGATACCGTTTCCAATTTGCTCAGAAAATTCTGGCCCACCCTCTTCAAAGTTTCTGAGCCCTATGAACTGCCAGTATTCATAAAACAAAAACAAACAGATCCAACAACAAAACCCAACGAATCTCTTGATGAAAAGAACCATTTACACATAATAATCTCTACACGTTAACCAGTTAAATCACATACGCACATACATCTTTTTGAGGGGACAGGGTAACCTTCCTAAAGAGAATTTTAGTAGAACATGTCACTACCCTTAAAAATGTACATACCACTTGCCCAGAAATCCCACAAAATTAGTCTTTGAAAATAATTATGTATAGGCACAAATATGAAAACATAAGAATGTTTCCTCAAGTTATACACAATAGTGAAACTGAGAACAAACACACAACAATAGGGAATTGATTAAATATGATTATATATCCATATGCCATCAACAGAGATAATGATAGAACCAAATGGCCTGAAAATAAAAACATTTTCAGAACTTGCTGAAGACTTAGAGGGTAAACCTCCTTTACCCTCTTTCTTAGACAATTATTTGAGGATATGCTGCAGCACGAGTCAGTAAACCAAGACATGTGGGATGCAGGAAACAGTGACCCCAAACCAGGGGAGTAATGGCAGGAAGCCTGGGACATCAAGTAGCAGACCTAGACAGCAGGAGAATGGAGAGCTCCAGGGGCAGGTATCTGGGGGAAAGACGACTGCA